ATATGCAAGCAGTGGAACTACGTTTCCCGCTCCTTACGTACCTCCGCCGAAGAGCTTCTTCGAACGAAGTAGTCGCATTTAAGCGAGCCCGAAATAACAGCTGGTACGATGAGGAATGTTAAGAAGCTGCATGGAAAGAAGCAGCCGTCTACAGATCGACACTACGATCGATCGCAACGCGAGCTCTGTTAGATCAATATAGGAAGCTGAAGAGAAAAGCGAGACGTATTTTTTCGTAATAAAAAAGCCAGACCGTAATACATACAAACATGAGATCTCAAAATGCTGGCCGAAAGGAAAAATGCTCGAAAATTTTACCAGAGAGTTAGTCACTTAAGGAGAGTTTCCATTTCAGGGTGAACGCCTGTAATAACAACCATAACGACCTAGTTACCGATGTCTAGAACATACTTAAATTATGGAGAGAACCCTTTCCATCCCCCAGTCGATGATGACGGAGTCTATGCTCAACAACCTGACTATGACGGGGTACGAATAGCAATAGCGCGCTTTAAAAACAACAAAGCTGCTGGAGCTGGCAGCTTGCTAGCTGAGCTAATCAAGTACGGCGACGAGGAGCTGATAAGGCGCAGAATATGGTCATATGAACGCATTCCCGACGACTGAAGTTTAAGTGTGCTCTGCCCAATCGACAAGAAAGGCAACCTTGTCATGCGTGTGGCTTTAGAGCTGGAAAATCTACCATGGACCACAATACGCCAAATCTTGGAAAAGACCCGCGATAAAAGAAATTCCATCTACGCCCGATGTCTGAATTTGGTATCCCCGCGAAACTAATATGGCTATGTGAAATGACGTTGATCAATACCATCAGCTACATCAGAATTTGGAAGTGCCTTTCCCAGCCATTTGACATCAAACGAGGTTTCATATGGGGCAGCTTATGGTCGTGTAATTTGTTTAATCTGATATTGGAGAAGATAATATTATCTTCAGAACTGAATCACTTAGGTAAACATTTTTACAAGAGCGTACAATCGCTGACGTGGTGAGGCTTGAGAGCTTCACTCGACTGTTATGATGATGATCCACCGTATAGAACGTACTTTGCCACGTTCGACTATCATTATTTTCGATCTCTACTATCTTAATGGCGAAAAACTGACCTCAAAAGAGGTTTGTCAAAACCTACTGAATTAATTTATTTGCCAAAAAATCTCAGAAGCTCTATAGTGGCGAATATTATTTTTCTTACCATTAAAGTCTTAAATTGTTAGAGATAAAAATTTTGCATGCATACATGAAAACACACTTTGTTCTGCTATTTTATTATTCACGGAACTGAAATATTCTGCCAGCACTGCGCAAGAGAGAAATGAGAAAGCTTTTCATTTGGTGAGCAATTTTTCGCCGCCACCACAAGTGACTAGTGCCTATGTATAAAAATTGTAGCTTTGACATTTCGTAATAAAGAAATTACATGTTGCGCTGCAAATTTTTTCCTTATACTCTTATGAAGCATGACTAACTGATCAAAATGTTACAATGCTCAAAATTAGAGAAGAAATCGAAAATTCCAAATTGCAAATGCGACGAATAAGTGTCTATTATATATGTAGCAGGTGATTTTTTTCTTACTTGCTATTTACAACAATAAAATAAGCTGTTAGACCCGAAACCACAAACACATTTTTCATGCCACGATATCATCAGCTCAAGAACTTCAATGTCAACGAAGTCAAATGTTAATTAAGTATGTATTTTCATTTGATTGGCAAACGCAAAGAGTATTTCACAAAGTCACTGCATTTTGCTTTACACACACAAGAAGAAAATAAACACAATTTTTCTCTAGCAAAACAACTTTTTCTTATATTCACTTTACACTTCTTAAAATTCAATATTAAATCCACTGCATTAACTTGCTCGTCCATTGACTGCCTTTCAGCCAAACGCGAACTGAACTGAAACGACATTTGAATATTTTGACATATTTTCGTTCAATATTCAATATCCAATGTCAACACTTGCACAACAGCATTTTTTTTTTCTTGGACCCGTAAATGCATATGGGACCCCTTTTTGCTGCAGACACGGCTGAGGGTTGATGTGCTACCTCCCTCTGTCGTGGGCACACACACACACACGCACGCAAACTTTGATTGCAGTTTAAGGGCTGAACTAAACGCACGGCAGACCAACGACCGTTCGATCGACTGGCTGACTGACAAACTTGCTGCCTAACTGTCTCCCTATCAACTTTATTACTCATTCATACGAGTTTATTTGAGTTGGCACAAGTTCTTTGTTCTTTTAAGCTAAATTTTTTTCCCTGCTTCACTTGTACACTATGCACAACATTCGTTCGTTGTCTATCATCTGCGAACACTGAATGAACACTTGCTAGTTGTCGAGTTTTACATGTGACTATACTGCCACCCTCTACCTCTGTTTGTGTGTGTGTGTGTGTGTCTGTGCAACGAAAGCGAATTGAATGATTTCCCTCGAGGGTTTCAAATGTCAACAGTCTCAGTTCGCTCTGAAGAACTCTGGTGCTGAATAAGTTCAGGCATGAAAAACTGTGCATAGAAAGAATGGCAAGCGCGCCCTCTATCATTTAAGGTAGCTGTTGAACATGAAATAGAGGGTGCTCGAATTTCAATACTTGTAGATACTAGCTTTTGCTCGCATTTCAATTGTTTCCTTCGACATCTATATTGTAATATTTCACTTACGTAACTGAGTAAATTTAATTACACTTTAAAACAGGTGGCAAACCCCTTTGAAACATTTACAAAATAAAGCCTTCTTAAACATCTTTTGATTGACTCGGCATCATTGTGTTTGACTTGACAAAATTTTGTAACACTTCATTTGAGTTATTGATTTAATTAGCTTTCAAACTGGTGGCAACACTCTTCTTAAAAATATTCCAGAAACAAAGCTTTTAGGTACCTGTTTCGATTGACATGTAATACTTTGACTTTTAAAGAAGTGGTACCCTTTTCAAAATAAAGATTTCTTAAAGCTCATTCGTTAACATATTGTAATAATGAAGTACTGTTTATTAATAAAATTGAATTTAAACTTTTAATCCTCTTCAAATTTTGTTGTAATAAAGCTTTTTTTAATATTTGCCGTTTGTCATCCATATTTTGAAATTTTGTTTAACTTATAATATGAAATAGAATTTTACTTTTTAAGCAGGTGGCAACCCTCTCCAAAAAATATGCTAAATATTAATCCAAGTCAAAGGATATTTTTAAATATAAGCTATCTCACAAACTTACACATTTATATTATTAGTCGAATTGTTAGTCGAGCTTCATCTAACTTGTCAATTAAATTGATTTTCTGAAGCGTATGGCAACCCACATCAAAAAAAATTTTAAAATGGATATAGATTTTTAAACCCTCTGTGGTTTGATACCCATATTCAAATATCTGTGGTCATAAGCAATAATCGCCTAGGTCGAAAAACCTGAATTCGATAAAAAGCGCTTTAAAGATTTGGGTTGAAATGTTAACCTTATGGGGAAACCAAAATACTTTCATTTATATGGAATAATAGTTGCAGAAAAGGATAGCATATATAACTCAATTCTTTCTTAAGTCGATTTAGATTAGACTAGATTTTAATTTTTTGAACAGGTGGCCACCCTCTTAAAAATAGCTTCAAAATAAATCGTTCTCGAACCGCTTTCATTTGGCACTTATCTATATTGTTGAAATGTTTTATTTAACTTAATAATTAATCGATTTAAAATTTTTTACAGGTGGCATGCCCCTTAAGAAATACTTTCGAAATAAATCGGTTCGTTTCACACCCACATGGTAGTAACATTTTATTGAATTTATTAATTAATTGATTTTAACTTTTTAAAAAGGTGGCAACTCTCTCAAAAAATAACTTGTTGGTTAATCCAGCATATAACCTATCTGCGTGCGAAATTTTATTGATTTAGATTGAAAGCGTCACAAACATGCCCACTTACTCTTTCACATTCTTTCACAGGATTACTAAACATTACATTATATCTCGAAGCGAGCTATCGACAGTTTCCGGACGAGAAAGCAATATATGGCTAATACCATTTATTGAACTGTATCCTCTTTCAGATTGTTGGATCAGGGGGACTACTCTGTAATGCGATACGAACGAGCAATGCGATGCGATAGGCAAATACTCGTAAGTACTTAATATGCGTGGCGATTGCCTATAGCATTGCATTTCTCTTTCGCATTGCATTACAGAATAGCCCCCCATAATTACAGAATAGCCCTCCCTTAACACATCGCTGCCCTAGGCCTCCTACCATACGCTTGCAAAGGGGGAGTTTTTGACAATATAAATTCAGAGACCCCAACACCGACCTTGGGGGAACTGGAGGGCGACGATTCTCTGGTGGAGTTAATAAGACAGGGGGATCACAGCAAACGTCGGTGAGAACTCGGCTTCTAGATATGTATGTGACAAGCGGCAAAGACGAAATGGGGAAGCCTCAAGGTTGTCGCCTACGCGGATGAAGAAACCATCGTGTTAAGCGTGAATTCAGATTAAGTGGAACTGTTTTATCTTACGAGAAGATACAAGACACCGCTACTGACTCCACCGGAACTAAATAAACGGGCGATTTTTAAGCTTTACGAATAACATAGCGTTATTAGAAGGTTTCATCTTTAGGGGCAGCAATCAAAGCTGTGAGCTCCATCACAGTTAAATCAAAAATAGCGCTCCACTACTGCCAATCTCTGCAAGAGATGACTAAACAGAACTTTCTAAACCTTATTTGGGTGTTAGTGGTCGTAGGGATACAGAGGGTACCTGTATTCTAGCAGATGGTATGCCTTCGCCACTTGCAAGCTGCTTTTAAGATAACTTATCCATATTCACGCGAGCGAAAGAAGGATGCAAACTACGAGCTGTCGAGTTTCTAGGTAAACTTATACTACTACTACTTATACCTACAGTAGCAAAAGTGGGGAAGTGGCCGAAAAAGTGTTCCACCGTCTCATCCTCTTCAAAGCACGAAGATATAATGGGACTAAGATGTAAGCCGAACACATTCGCCATACTTCTGACAACAAACCATTTGTATGCACGTAGGTAGGCGTGGTCGATGCGGAGGAGCCTTACCTAAACGCCATGGCCTAATCAATGCGTTTCGTGCTTAGATGGGGAAGGTAACAAACAAGTTCTGAAGCTAATACATAGTTGTGATGCGAGGCGAATACTCAATCCGGATCCTGCAGTTTAAAATTTACCACCCCACTTGCGAGTTAGATAGGATTGGATCAAGCACCTTTTTTTCCTTTTAGGGTACTCTTGTTGTGAACTTTAAGCACTTAAGATATGATATACTCAAAAATCGTATTCCCTCTTGGATTACACTGACCGCAACATTTGGTTGTCAAAGCAATACACAAGGCCACTCACAAGTCCCGAAGATAGAGTTGCACAAGCTTGGTAACTTTAAAGAGCAAAACCAATCGGTCTGACCTTATGTGTTGTATAGCTGTTATGTGGAGTTAAATAATAATGCATGGTCTGTCGCCTTGCAAGGCAAATAGCCTTAGAATGCTGCGGGTTTATGTTATCGCCACAGCAGTAAACGTTCGATCTCTCTGCCACAGGCGAGGTTTTCGCCTGACATAAAATCATTGAAAGCAAGGCAGAACGGCCTTAGTTTCACTCACCCTCGCTTCGTCGGAGACCTCGATTGGAACCAGAGCAGCTGTAGCACAAGAAGCATGCGATGACGATACTATCTTATTCTGCTCTTGCTTCCGTTTCAACAACACATAAGTGGAATCGGCCTTATCCGCACAAACTTCTGCCAAGATTGCGCTCCCGGTAGCAGCAGTAATATTCCCTCTTGTATCAATGTCACATTCCATGAAAGCATTGTGGTGTGCATTAAGTGGGGAAGCAGCTGGAATTATTATTTTGCACCTCCCATCAGTCGATTTGAGAGGCCCTACATCGGAAAGGGGCCACTGGTTGCCGTGAATGTAACCTCCATGAATCGTGTTCTTTTAGTAAATATATGTAGCAACAATGGCCGGCAGCTGCATAGGAGAATTCGTCTTGCCTATGCTGGAGACTTGTATGTTGATTCGTCTCACCAGAATCCAAGGCCCCGGCTGAATTTGGACTCTTATGGGTACCACTTGCAATATTATTTCTATACATATGTAGTTCTTCACATGTTTTGATAGTTTATCCCTGCTGTCAGAGGGTCATACTTAACGTGACCAAGCGTACTTCTTTCGGGAGTACAGTAATTCTTTTTTGGCTCTTGTGCTTCGTACTTCGAAGTACAGTCAAATGTACTTCTTTGTGATATTTTGTACTTCAGGTCCTGTACGTAGCCGACCTTCTGGACGATCATCGCATGGCCTGGGCGATAAATTCGTTCAAACCATTAAAGTCGCCGATGAGTCCTCGGCGAGGACCTATGGCATCAAACCTGCGCAGCTGCAAAGGGCTCTGAAGAAGTCGTGTAATTGGTTGGATTCTATTTATACGAACTGCGTGAGGAGCGGGTATATCCCCAAGGCTTGGAGGGTAGTCAGCGTTGCGTTCCTCTTGAAGGCTGGAAAATCTCTTATGTTTCTCCTAGGGATTTTAGGCTCATGAGTTTGTATTCGTTTTTGCTAAAAACGCTAGAGAGACTGATATACAGGGACATAAGAAACGCGATTACTCGTGACTGTCTTTCAAGAGCTCATCATGATTATTGCAAGGAAAGGTCAGTGAATGCCGCCCTGCGCACATTGGTTGAGTGGTCAGAGGAAGTCTTCATGCATAAATGTTATGCAGGAGGGGCCTTCTTCGATATCAACGGGGCCTTCAGCAATGTTACTCCAGAGGCAATAGTCAATTATATTCATATTCTAGGGGTCGATACTAACCTAATAACGCTTATCTTTCTTCGTGACTTACCTAACGCGGCGGAGTGAGGCAGCGCCTGCACTCAGCGCAGGGTCAATAGGGTCACTCCGCAAAGTGATATTCTCTCTCCCCTGCTCGGGATTGCGGTTATAAACGACCTTCTAGAGGAACTGGAAAAATTGGGCTGTCGGGTGATCGCCTATGTAGATGACGTGGAACTTTTGGTTAAGGGACGATTTCTGTACAGCCTTTTTTATCTGGCACAAGGTTACCTGAACCAGGTAGCTAGGTGGGCGATCAACGGAAGTACAAGATAACCGTTGTGGCCCTTCCCTCGAGAGTTGTTTGTCCCCGGATCTCAGACAGGGTCAAGTAATTAGGCTTGATTCTGGATAGGAAGCTGTCGTGGATGCCTAATATTGAGGAAAAGGTAAGAAAGGCGTCGGTTGCCTTGTACTACTGTAGCGGAGTTATCGGTAAAAGGTGAGGTCTCTCGCCCAAAGTAATTCATTAGCTCTATGCCACTAGATTTAAACCTTTCTTATTTCAGGGAGTCCTTGTCTGGTGAAACTCACTAGAGAAGGCTACACGTGTAAAACAGGAATTAGTGGAGCATTAGGAACCACACCCGCACTGGCGCTTAACGTCATATTGAAAACGACGCCTGCGGATATTGCCGACAGAATTTTCGCAGCACGAACTGCATTAGGCTAAGCGAAACCGGGTGGTAACACTTTGGATTTCTGGAGGGCTTCGACTTCGCCCTGAACACATAGATTATAGTGCCTCCGAAAAGGCTCCCAAAAGCTCCTTCTCTACCTATATTCCCTCAAGAGAGGACTGCGTAGGCCGAGGTTACTCGAAGAAGGGAGTGGTAATCTTCTTAACGGATGTATCAAAACTTGGAGACAAGGTTGATGGAGGTGTATTTTGGCGGAAACCACCAAAAATATTCGGGCTACCGAACTTCTGCAGTGTCTTTCAGGTGGACATAGCAGACATCAAGGAAGCGATACACTCACTACTAAAGCGCACTGCGCTCGAAATCGGTAAGGGAATGCCTGACCTCTCTATCAATCGCGTAGCTACTTCTTTAGGTGCCGGAACAGTGCGATCGCGGGAAACTGCGTAGCTGCTGACCTGGCATTGAAAAGGCACCATTAAAATCTTATCCCCAGGTAAGGAGCAACTCTTGGATGGTTGGGCCTAGTGTTATCTCGGCGAGCGCTAGACTAACACGCATTCTTCGTACTCGCGATAATGAAATTGCATACTCCACTAAATGCCTAATAAAGTGAAATTGCTGCTCCTACTGTGACATAAAAAAGGAAAATAAGACGTTTCTCTGCTGCAGAAAATATTTTTATAAACTTTAAAATACTTTTTCCAGCGACGAGTGACCCATCGTTACCCCTTAAAGGTTCCAAATTCCACATGAGAGAAATGAAAGAGCAAATTTATCTATAATTTAAAAAAACTAAAGTTTGTTCGATTCACAAGGACGAACAGATAATTTTTTTAGCTGACAAAATTAGGAGGACGAAATTCGAGGATTTTATCGAGTTTATATAAATTCTTAACATATAATTTTTTCAAAAACAAATATTGCGAAATTTCAAGGATAAAATTATGCACCAAAAAAATGAATCTGATTAAATTCCACAGAACTTCTTCTCTAAGCAGATTTCACTGTTGAAATTCATTTTTAAATTTCTGACGTCAGAGTGAAAAACTAAAAACGCAATTTTATTATATTTGGATCAAAGTTTCCGAATATATTAATTTTTGTGTGTAACATTTAATATCGCACGGTGTTATATGTATAATGAGTTAGACATTTATAAAAAAATATTAATTATTAAAAAAAATAAAAAATATAGCCAGTATTGGTCAAGAAAAGGAATTTCTATTATTGTCATCAGTGCAAACTACAAATCCCGAAAGTCCCGGGATTATTTGGCAAGAATTCCTAGTCCCCGCATTGCATTTTTTAAATTTAGCTAATATTAAAAAATGGTTAAATAAACAATGTGGTATTATTACACTGTGCAGCACTCGGCTGGATATTGGACCAAACCAACTTTTTTTAAGAGACTGAGTCATAAGTAAAAAAGGTAAGTTCTCCGTTTTTCGAAGTTAGCCTCCGAAATCGAGATATGGTTATGTTATTTTTAAAAGATTCATATCGTTGTAAAATCGGTTTAATCCCCTTTCTTGTGATATGCATATTTGTATACTTGGTATATAAAAATTATAGAAAAAACACTTAAAAGGAAAAAAATTTACAAAAAATTGCTAATTAGTAACACAATTGAATGCCGTATTTAAATAAAACAGCGTTGTTCACCCACAGCCCTGTTAAAAATAAAGCAAAAGTATATGTAACAGAAGTCTAAGGCATATAAAAATATAAAAACACCATGGTTTTTGAATTTTTACATAAGAGGTTATATATAAAAATTAAAGATAATTTTCTGTTTTAATTAAATAAAGTATTCAATTGTATTACTAATTCGTAATTTTTTTGTTTAAAATATTTTTTATATGAAAAAATTAAAAATCTCTTTTTTGTTTAAAATATTCTTTTATGAAAAATAAGGTATTCTTCTTTTAAATGTGTTTTTTTTTTCTAAAATTTTTATATACGAAGTATACAAATATGCATATCAGAAAAAAGAGGATTTAAGAGGCTTAACAACGATCCCAACTTTTAAATTTTAATTATTAGTTAGTAATTTTTTTGTTTCAAATAGTTTTTTTTTTTATAAAAATAATATATTTTTTAATTTAAATGGGTTTTTCCTAAAATTTTTCTATACGAAGTATACAAATATGCAAATCGAAAGAAAGGGAGTTTAATCACCTTTACACCGATATAAAAATTTTAAAAATTAGTTTAAAATTGTTTGGAATATAAAGAATTAAATTTTTCGAAGACCTGAACTTTGACCCCTTATAGCACCTGTAATATAAGTTTGCATAAAAAAGTTATATATCATTTAGATAAGAGCAAAAAGAGGACTACGTCTATATTTTTAGGTTTTTATTTATTTATATGCAATAATTAAATATAATATTTACCAAAGGCCCTTCAAAAACAGAGAAAATACTTTTTTACCTATGGCTCAATATCTTAAAAAAAAAAAATTGGTTTGGTCTTATACCCAGAAAAAAAGTTGATTTTGCCGTACAGTGTTATTCAAAGTCTCTGGTCAAAAATTATTTATTTTCAAGAATTCTCTACCATTGAAATTGTGTTTCTTTTCCTTATAAAATACATGGAAAACTTGAGCGCTGTGAGCGGCCTCTAAATATTTTTTGATTTCAAAGTAAAAAAACAGGGGTGCTGATCACGAATAGGTAAATCTGCCTGAAAAAAAAAAATAGGCCTCTAACCTTAAATGGCTTTTTTAACTTTGGTTAAGTCTTTTGGAAGTTTACACTCTTCTATAATCCAAGGCTATTCATTGGAAAGGGTTCAGCTTAAACTATAACTATTAGATATTTTTCCAAATTAGCTTGAAGAGTCAGCTATTTTTCTTTCTGAAACATACTAATGTTCAAAGTAAAATCTTTTTTTGAATTTCCATGCATTTCAATTTATGTTTTAACGCCTCTGTACTTAATAATCATCAATTGTAGTAGAATAGCAAATCGAAAGGACATCAACTGTCACACAATGCTTATCCGTTTTGAATATATATTCTACTATGGAAGAGAAAGGAAAACCGAACAGGGGCCAGGGCTGCCAACTTGACTGAAGCAGTGCCATTTTTGGTCCTATTTTACAGCAAATGGCAATTAATTTTTCAATTTGGCATAAGTGCCAAAATGGCACTTTTCAAAAATAGTAATATTTCAATACATTTTTGTGAAATCCTTTGTGCGTACTTCTTTTTCTCAACTAAAATTTTCTAATTTCTAAAGATTATAATTATTCAACTGGTTTATCTTATTTTGGCATTGCACTTTTGCTTTAGAAATATGCTTCTTATTTTATTGCTAAATGACACTTTAATTTTTCTATTTGGCACATTTTGGCACTTTTTTATCCTCAATATGGCACCTCATAGCCAAAGATAGTTGGCAGCTCTGACAGGGGTCTCAATTGGAAGCCACCCTCGAATACCCCAAAGGCGAGAAAGTATGCACAAGGAAATGAGCAAAGGAAGAGCATGGCTGAGAATAACCAATCAACCACCCACAAATACGGAAAACGGCGCTCTCGCATAGACTCATATGTATGTAACCCCAACAAGCAGCACCAGCACAGTGACAACAACGCGGCTTAAATGCGAACACGAACACACAACAAACAGCAAAGCACAACAAACCGTAAAGCATCCTGCGATGGGAGTCACGATGAGCGCACAGCGAAATAACAACACACACCCATGCAGAAATGGATAGAAACATAGCAGTGGGCTGCCGTGTTGTACGCGGGTGGATGGCGCTTTAAGCTGTATTCGTGGGTGCAATGCGGGTGGTGAGACGCAGGCAACGGGCATAAAGCAAACTTCGATTTATGACCAACACATGGAAAAGTTATGCGCTAGAGCAAATGAGCGAATGCGCGTACACAAAGCATTGCGACGGCAAAGGATATAAACGGGGGCAGATGGACGGCAAGGAATCGCGCACTCAACGAGCAGGCGGACGTTAGCAACCAACGACGACAATGGGTACAGCGCGACAACAGTGACCACCCCACAACAGTGAACACCAGCGCCACCACCACCAACAAGCATAATTCAACGATTCGTTTGTTTGCGCGAAGCAGGCGGCAAATGAGCGGCGCGGTATTTGCAATGGTTCGTGGGCGAAGCGGTGCTGGACGACGGCACGGCGGATACGCGGCGCGATGCTCGTTAGACAGCGGACGCAGCGCGAGAGCACGCGTCAAGCGGGCGGCGAACAGAGAAGCAGGCAAATAAACTTTCGCACTGACAGCAACTTTCAGGCAAGAGAAATAAAAAAGTTTTTCATTCCGACGACTGCAAAACGGCGAATGACACGAAATACCGAAAGAAAAAATTTCACAGTCATACAGTTGAAAAGCGACGACTTCAAATGATGTGAAAAAATAGTGAAATACCAAATAGTGATTTTATTTGAAAATAAATACAAATGAAATTTAATGAAATATTTTAAAAGTGTTTGAGATTATTGATGATGAAAATATAAAATAGTCGTGTATTGAAAGACGAATGCTTGCGTACGCGAACAAAGGACCTGGCTGCTAGCAGCAGGCAGGCTGGCAAGCAGGCGATGAGACAGTACTAAAGCAGTGGAGCGAAAATTTTTCCACTTCACAGCCGCAACGGGCGATGATAGATAAAATTTGATTTTATTACGGCGGCAAGGACCTCGAAAAGGAAAAAAAAAACGAATTCCCATCAGCAATCAGGTACGGAAATAGTGAGCCTTGGCCTGGCCAATGCTGAGCGTAGTTCGACCATAAAATGCACAGTGGAGGGGTAGGAGGTGTGCAGGGGCAGCCGCGACTACTATGTTGGTAGTGTAGAACATTTTGTCTGCTGCGCGAATTTATGGGCGTTGTTGGACGTGGAAAATGACGCGACCGTTGCTTAGTGAAATCGTAATAAATCGAGAGGAATTCAAGTGAAATGGAAGTATTTTAATAAAATCGCACCAATAAAAATTCCATATCAGAGGCAGAAAAAATCGTGAAAACGGAAGTAGGGGGTTGAGTGGGTGTTTGAGTGATCCTCACGCAGCAACGAAGGCACCAAAGGCAGCACCAACACCACCAACTTTTAGGGAGTGTTCGTAAACGCAGCAGACACATGCACAGCCACAGCCACAATCATAGACATAGCCAAAGTTAGAGGCAAAACTAGAGCCACCGCAAAAGTCAGAGTAGCCACCGCGAAGGGCAGGCACATCACATCACAGCACGGCACGGCACGACGAGGCAACTCTGAACACCCTGCCTGGCTAAAGTGCGACGATTGTAGCTCGTACGCCTGCTGCGCGCCCCACGTCACGCGTCTCCTTGCGCGTCGTATTGCGCGGATCGAAGCATCGCGGGTGTAGATATACAAAACGCAAAACAACGGGCAAAATGGAATAATGCGAAAAAATTTCTGATTCACCAACAGTAGCAGAAACACAAAACTGATGGAGTAGTATAGCGGCAGCAGCTGTAGCTGATAGATGATAAAGGAAGAAGGAGCAAGCAGCAGCAAGAGAGAGGAAACCCCAATGGCATATGAGAACGCGAACGTGCTGTGGCTGTATGTGTATGTGTGCGCGTGTTAGTGTGCGAGCGGCGTGTATTGGTATGCAATGAGCAAATTTGTGTTCTGAGGCGGAGAAGAAGAAGAGAAAGCGTATGAAAAGTAAACGTGTAGAAAACAAAAATACCAAAAGAATAAAGAACAAGTAAAAGTGAAGAACGCAAGGAGGCATTAAAATAGTACGAAAAAATACAAAAGTCCAAAGAAAAAAAACTATGAAACTAGAGAAGAAAGCGTGAGTGTGAGCACGGTGGTAGTGATAGTGGCAGTGGCAAGGGAAGTAAAAGCAGAAGAAGAAGCAAATTAACTTCCTGTGTGTGAAGGATACGCCGCACTCGAGCTAAACTTGTTTGGTAGTCGATTTTTTAAAGATTTTTTTCTATGCCGATGCCAACGCGCGCGTTTGTTTTTAAAGAGCGCGCCTACCTGGCGCTGGTGATAAAGTAAGGTAAATTTATTATAAGATCGCAACGCAAAAGACAGTGCCGCAGAAATTGTGCAAACTAAGCGCTTCAAAAGAGCGGCAGCAATAATCGTTGAAGTGCTTTGGTAAGCGTACGTACGCTTGTGCAGTTCTCGCGTCGAATTTTTTTTTATGAAAATCGGTTCGATTAAACAGTCAAAGTGACGCGCACAAAGCGAAAAGCGTTGCCAAAAGCAACAAAGCCGGCAAAGGCGCAGTTGTCGTCACATGCCGCGACACTGCGAAGCGCGCAACGCAGCGCGGCCGATGCTGCCACCAGTGACGTATCCAAATCGAATGCCACCGATTTCAGCGCGTTCGACTTTAATGACAGCTCCGATAATTCCGATATACAAACGCGACCGCCTTCCTATCTCAGTCGCGCTCATCTTCACAACAACAACGGCAGCAGCAATGCTAGCGGCACCGGCGGCGTAGGTGGCGGCGGAAATAACAATAACACCTGCAACAGTATTAGCAACTGCAATAGCAACAGTAACACCAACATCAGCAATAGATTAACCAATAGTAATAGTTTAGTTAACAACATCAGCAACAACAACCACGCCAGCAGCCGCGCAGCCGAAACGTCAAACAACGATGGTAGCCACAGTCATGCTACCAATGAGGCGCCCAATATCAACGGCAAAATGGAGCAGGACGACGCGGAGGACGATGACGACGAAGAGGAAAACGATCAGAATGCGGCTGTAGGGCAGCGTGCTGCTCAGACACGCGTGAATGCACAAGAAGAAGACGACGATGACGACGACGACGAAGATGAGGATGAGGATGACGAGTTGGAGAACCAGCATGACGCTGCTAATGCAAGCATGGTACAGACGCGCGCGCTTAGCAATTCATTACCGGAGGCAGCAAACGACAACGGCAGATTTTCCGAAGCGGCAACAGCATCCACTGCAACGACGACGGCCGCAGGCGCTGGTGCTACAGGCAATGCGTACAACGTCAACAGCATCAGCAATGATGATAACGGCAATAACAGCAGGCATAGTAACGCCAGCAGCAGCGCACATAACGGCGACAACAATGACAACAGCAACGCCAGCAGTGATAGCATGCTTTGTGATGGTATGCGCGACCTGGATGGCATGGATGTCGGTGACAGCCAACGCTTAATAGCCAGTACGGGTAACAACCACCACAACAACAATAACAACACTGCTGATGCGCTTCTAATGGCTGCTATTGCTAGTGCGAGCCTGAACGGGGCAAGCAATGGCGGCGGCGCTGCGGGCGGTATATGTAACGCTATGACTACGGCGGCCACAACAGAGTCAAACAACCAGTGCGCTGTAGCAGATGACGCTGCGGTAGTTGGTGCCCTCTTAGATGGCCCTTTAGGCACGAGTAGTGGCAACAATTGCAATGAACTTGCACGCAGCAGTAGCGCTAGTTTAAGCAACAACAGCTCATCAGCAACTGCGCTCGGAGGCGGCAGTGGTAGTGGTGGTGGTGGTGGTGGTGGTGCGGATGCGAATAGCATCGCTGGCTGCGGCGGTGGTGGTGGTGGCGGCAACAGCAGTATTTGTGTTGGTATTGGTGGCGGTGGCGGTGGTGGCGGCGGTGGTGGCGATGGTGGCGGCGGTGTTGGCATTGCGAGCGGCATGGGCGGTGAGAGCATGTGTGGCGGTGCACCTAGCGAAGCTGGCAGCGCGGCTGGCACAACGGGCTCGGGTCATAGTGAGCGCAAGAAATATCGACATCAAAATTATAGCAAAAACATTTACATTGGCACTAAGAATGCTGAAAAGTGGGAACACACGCGAACGCGGCTGCAATTCAAGAACGATGTGGAATTCGTGACGTACTTGTTGAATTTGGCTGACAACGATACGGAGCGTCTAGCTAAGTGAGTATTAAAAATTGTGTGGGATGAAGTGGAAAATGTTCGATTGACTTTGAGACAAGTTTTAATGAATTCGATTTAAAGTCGAAAGAACTTCTTAAAAAAACACACACTTCAAGCGTTGGACCTTCGGAAATTGGGGATACATTTTTGAACTTATGAACTGAAGAACGCCTTTATTTCAGCACAAATGTATGTACATATTTGCATGCTATTCTTTGCGGTTTTTTGTACTATACCACCAGCGAAGACCTCGACACAGTCGTTCTTTGGGTCAAACTTCTCGCATTCTTCATCCATTTGCATGTCGCTGTTAGCTTCCTCTGGATCGATCCAGTAGTTTCATATTCCATACAATTTTAACCCTTAAACTTCTTATGACTTTTTTATAAGGGTTTTCCGAAATGTTTTTCTGGAAATTTTTAAAGAGTTGTTTCCAAAACCTATTTTCCCAAAACATTCTTTTTTCCATAAAAGTACTTTTTTACAGAAAAATAATTTTTTTTTCATACATCAGCCTACATTTTTTTATAATTCTCGTAGACATTTTTTTCCTTAAAAATTATTTTTACTTACAATAATTGTGTGTAAACTACTTAGCACCCCAAATTTTAAGACTAAGCAATTATTATTTTTGAAATTTTTATTTCAAAAAACAATTTTTTAAATTTTATTAATTAAAAAGTTTTTTTTTAATTACGTTTCTCGTAACAATAATTTTTCCCCAAAAAATTTTTCATAAACTATTTTTTCTTAAACATTTTTCTAATTTTAACCAAAGTATTTGTTTCTTAAATTTCTTGATCGAAATTGTTAAATGAATATGCGGCACACTTTAACAATAGAAAATAAATATAATGCTACTACTTTTTGGGAAATATGTCTTACTTAGCCCAAAAAAATGGTTAACACTTTTTTCATATGAGCATGAATTTCTTTGGAAATAAAATGCGAAAGACCGTTCCCATCAAAATTTCAAAAAATCAACACCAGTTTTTTAAATTGCACTTGTTATATAAAAAAAACGCAAAAACCGAAAAAAATATTAAAAATCAAGGCTCTTTTTTAGCCGCTTGGAATATGCACTTCATTATAAAACTGCGCACTCAAAAATTTGCTAAATATTTCGATTAAAAAATTAAATTTTGATGAAAATTTATTGAATTTCGGTAAATTTTGCAAATGGGCAAATCCGAGAAGTAGTCAACCAAAAGCGCAACAAGCGCGTGCAATTCGAATTCTCTCATTTTTGTGTCAAAAGAAGCATAGTACAACATATTCTTATTTCATATTTCTTTTCACATTTTTTTGAGAAATCTGATTTGTCACTCTTTTTTCTTGAAACAAAGCTCTAAATAACATTGGTTTTAAGCACAAAACAAAAATACAACAATATCGCTTTAAATAAATTAATGTTTTCAACGGAAAAAAGAGTAACGTCAGTAACGTAACGTCCCGACCGCGCATATACAATTTTTTTAAAGTTAATCCAACCTTTAGTTTGCATTTATAACAAATTTTGTACACTTCATTATTTTCTCTTCAAAGTATTTTTGTAGATTGTGCTCTACATGCATGACAATTTGCGCAAATCGGTTGGCTTTGATGGTCATATCAAAATCGCTTCCTTTTTACGCCGACATTAACTCAAATTCAAATTTCCATTATTTTGTTCTCATAAGTACTGCAATAAACCTTTTTAACTTATAATATTTTTGTCGGCAAAAAAGTTAAAAGAAACGTCCGCACGTAATGTCCGCAACGCTAGGATTTGCCCATATGTAAACTTTGTTTTGGTTAAAGCTTAAACAATATTTTTTATAGAAAAATAACAACAAAAAATTTACTTGAAAAACATTGCCAATATATACAAAAAAAATCAACTCGTGGTCACTTGTTTGAAACACTGTATATACACTAAGTCCATCGACGTCTATGGTATCAAAGCTACACTGAGGGAAATAATGCATATTAAAAATTAATACTTTATATTTGATTATCGTTTAAAGAGGATCGTATTTAAAAATAATATTTTCATACCAAAATTTGGCTCGCACACATTTGAATGTTCACATCTGAGACCGTATATGTATGTAAGTGTACATACCCAGTACGGCAAAACTCAACCAATTATTTACCTCAGAAAAATTAATTTATTTCTACTTATGTAGCAACTAACATCAAACTGATGTATGTATGTATAATCAACTAACAACCTCATTGAGATAAACCAAATTCTTACACTTTTGAAACATATCTTTGCAAATAATTCAATATTAGTTGAAAAATATTTCAGCATTTAATACTAAACTAGAGTGCCAGTTACTGTCGAAATTCGACAGTTTTTCTAGTTTTTAGGAGCCTTGGAGAGGGTTTCTAACTTAAGACGTAGGAAAACTTATACGGTACAAATTAACTTACCGGAACATCTTCTGCTTTGGAACTAAAACGAAACTAAAATTTTTTTATCTTAGAAGGTCTTTGGACCTCAGCAGGACTTAGAATTGACCCGATACATTCCACTTTATCGATAAATACTAATGTTTTGATACATACCGATAGTTCGATGATTTTAAAAAACATTAAAATCCGATAACTCAACAAAATTCGTTAGCTCGACCAATTTCAATAACTGTGAAATTCGAGGGCTCGATAAATTTCGATAACTCAAAAATGTAAATTCTTTGGATACCTTTAAAAATGTTTACTCTTGACAGCTCCACATTTTTCGAAAGCTATCGAAAAATTTTGATAACTCATTACACTCTGTTAGCACGATAAAATTCGATAAGCTGTGATAAATCGATAAGCTTATATAATCTTGAAATTTCGATTAATGGATATATTTTGAAAATTCCATAAACTTCGATTCGATGAATCAACCAATTTCAGTAGATCAATAATTATCGATAACTCTGTAAGTTGAAAGAACTCCATGCATTACTACAACTCGATAAATTTCGTTAAGTCTATAAATAATGACAATTCAATAAATATCGATAACTTGATACATTTCTTTAACTTGACAAATTTCGATAATCCCACATGTTTTTATAGCTCGATAACTATCCGTAAATTTAGATAGCTAAGTTTCTGTGTCTATAAATTTCGACAACTCAATAAACATTGATCAATTTCGATAAATTTCGGTAACTTTTATGGAAAATTTCGATTCAGTTACCCAAATTCTTATGTATTCCTCATTGTCTCCATTTTCGCCTTTATCTCCATTTTCATATTTATCTTCACTTTTGCCTTCTTTTTTTGTCTTCATCGTTATCACTTGTTTCTTCATCTTCATATTTATCTTTATTTCAAAGTTTAATTTCAAATACGAAGTAAAACAAAATGCGAAACAGCTTAAATTGAACAGGTTGCAAAAACAACCATACACAAATATGGAAATTTTTAAACGACGATTTTCAACCAATTTCGAAACTATAAAAACTCTCCTAATCTACAGAAAATTACCTTTCCAACGGTGTTTTTGGTTTTGAAATCGGTAACTTTACCTTGGTCTTCATCTTTGTTTTTATCTTTCACATCTTTGCTTATATCCTTTTCTTTTTCTATTCACGTAGCTGAGATGAGGTGCGATGATGTAATAAGATGTGACGTGATTTTATGTGATGTGATAGGATGTCATGGCATGTGTTGTCATATCCTCTGATGTCATGTCATATGATGTCATACCATATGATGTCATATCATGTGATGCCTGGTCATGTAATGCCATGTCATGTCATATCATGTGATGTCAAGTCATGTGTTGTCATGCCATATAATGTGATGTCATATCATATAATGTCATGTCACGTGATATCGTGTGATGTGATATCATATTATGTGATGTAATAACATGTGATGTCTCTTCATATCGTGTGATAAAATGTGACGCGATGTCATGTAATGTGATCACATTCCATGTTGCGATTAGTATATCGATAACCCTGTTGAAATATCCATAAACATATAGAAAAATACAACGATTGTAAAATATCGTTAACAATATAAATGACAAAATCGATAACAAAATCAATTATTTAATCGATTATTATACCGATAACAATATCCATTATTGTATCGATAATAATATCGATTACTATATTGATTATTATATCGATTACAATAGCGGTTATTTAATCAATAACAGTATCGATAACAATATCGAGTTTTATATCGATCATATTTATCTTTATTTCTGCATATTCCTCTTCACCTTACCTTAAAGTGTTTAAATTTACCTTGATCTTCGATTGTGCCTGTATCTCTAGGCATCTTTGTTTTTGTTTTTATTCTCAAACCGCTAAACCCGCTGAGAACCATTTCCATGTGCATTATTCCCCTTGAATTTGACAATTTACTCCCAACAGACCAACTGCCTAGAGAAGTTTCACTTCATAAATTCAAGAAATGTTTTTACCCTTTCAGTTACCCTAATTCTTATGTATTCGTCATTGTCTCCATTTTCGTCTTTATCTTCACTTTTACCTTCTTTTTTTAACTTCATCGTTATCATTTATTTCTTCATCTTCATATTTATCTTTATTTCAAAGCTTAATTTCAAATGCGAAGTGAAACAACAGGCGAAACATGTCAAATTGAATATGTTGCAGCAACATCTATACACAATTCGAAAATGTTTAAACGACGGTTTTGGCCGTAATTTTCAACCAATTGTGAAACCATAAAAACTCTACGGAAAAATGCCTCTCCAACGGTGTTCTTGGTTTTGAAATCGGTTCGGTAGAATTGCCAAACGAACGGAGACAAAATTTATGTTAGCGTATTAATATATAGATATAGATAAGTAATTTTAAATGGGTTGAAAAGACATCTGCAAAAGAAACATATTGACTTTGAAGTGCTTTAAGCCAAGTGCATTTTAAAGTAGTTGAAATCAAATCAATAGTTCGATCCAAGGAAGAAAGTCAGATTTTCAACTAGTTGTGGTGGGTTAAAAACTGGTTGAACATCGATATTTAAACTAGGCTCTTTCCGTATTGG